CCCTTCTCCAGACCCAGCTGCCTCCCTCAGTGAGATTGTGGGCTGTTCTGAGGAAGAGCCAGAGAAAGGGACCAGGGCACAAAAGCCCTCCTGGCTGGTTCTGTCTCCAGCTCTGCCGCAGAGTCTGGGTCTTAGCTTCCTCATCTGTTAAATGAGAGGAAGACAGATCACTCCAGAAAATTCCCGACAGCAGGGCTGTGCATGCTGAGGATGCCCAATCTGTGATCATTGAAAGAACAGGCTGAATCCTGAATGCTCGAAGGACTGAGGTTGATGGTGTAGCAATAATTCTCAAGAGATCTTTGGTTTCATTCACACCAATAGTCCCAAGGGGCAGCTAGGTGGTACAGTAGATAGAGCTCCAGCCTTTGAGTCAGGAGGACCTGAGTTTAAATCCACCTCAGACACTTGACACTAGCTATGTGACCTTGGGCAAGTCATTTAACCCCAATTGCTTCATCAAAAAGGGGAAAAAAAATAGGTCATACCAGTAGTCCCTCTACAATGCAGATCACGCCCCTCTCTGGCCTTAGGGACTTGGACTACATGAGTCACTGGAACCAACCTTCCAGGAATGAGCTCTCCAAACCTAGGCAAACTGGTCCTCAAAAAAAGACAACACAGTCACATGTTAGGGCTGTATTTGAGACCTGTCCAGCTCAGTAGGATCTGTCAGACAGACACGGATGGATGGATGGATGGATGGATGGATGGATGGATGGGTGGATGGATGGATGGATGGATGGATGGTGCTATAGAAAGTGCTATATATACAGTGCTATAAGTGCTATAAAAGAAAGTGCTTTAGAAAGAACAACTGGAAAACAAGATGGCCCCTGCCCTCAAGGAGCTTACCTTCTAAGGGAACTAGGAGGAAGAAAGAGCATAGCAGCTGGTGTGGAAAAAGCAGCCTGGAGAACGAGCTAGAGGTGAAGGATGCACACATGGGCTTGTCCTTCGAGGTACCCTTAAATTCTAGTTCTTCCTTAAGGTCGAAAAGCAGAAAGACAACCTTAAAGATTTTGCTTCATGTTTTGCCAGACACAGCCTAAATCTAGGAATTGGCTGAATATTGACTGGCAAGCCAGCAATGGTAAAGAATAGCCATTTGCCAGTGAAAGAGTGAATCAATTCTGGTCTTGGTGAAGGCCATTTATCAGACCACCATCATCACCCAGTGAGTCTCTGGGGCCTATCACAATCTATAACCGTTGATTACAAAATCAAAACATTAGTTAGCTGGACAGGGAGCTTTGTGGGTGAGGGCAATGGGAGCTGTGCATTGGCCTTTTCTACCATTGGCCGGTCACTCTCCAAACACATTACCTCCTCTATATCCCTCAGGGCATCTCTCCTTAAAAACAGAGCTTGGGAGGCTCTCTGCTCCAGCCCCATCTTCTGCAGATGAGGAAAGCAAAGTCCAGAGAGAAAGTCCAGTGAGAGATCCGGAGGCTTTGACATCTGAGATTAGCTGAGGTGCTGGGAATGCTTAGCCTAAGGAAGAAAAGGCTGGGAAGGACAGGAGACCACCTTCAAGTACTTGAGGGTGGTCAGCCATGTGTGGGAGGGGTCAGCCTTGCTCTACTTGCCCCCAAAGGGCAAAACCAGGAGCAGGGGTGAAGGGGAGAATAGACAGAAAGCCTGGTTTAGAGTCGACACCAGAAAGAGCTTCCTAAGAACTGGAGCTGCCTCAAGTGGTCATCCTCCTTGCTGGAGGTCTGGAGCAAAGGCCAGCTGTCCCTGAGATTTGGACTGGATGCTGCTGCCCCTATCTGGCCAATAGGGTATTCTGGGGTTCAATGAAGGTCACCCAGTTTGGTGGAAGACCCGTGAGCTCTCCTCTCTCCTGCACTGCTTCGCATTTAGAAAGCCCTTTCTAGAGGGTTTTCAGGACTTCTGGGAGCCAAGATGGCAAAGTAAGCGGTAAGTCGCTCTCATCCTCCCTTATTGACCTTGAAAAACCCAGAGAATGTTGCCCCAGGAAAAATGCTGGAATAGTGGAGCCAGTAGAAGGGTAAGATAGAGAGGTCTTTTAGCTCAGGAGAGTAGGGGGGTTAATGGGAAAGGTCCCTCTTGCTGTGGCTGAAGGGGATCAGTACAGGATGGGAGGAGTCCTGGCAAGCCCCACTTCAGCATGCCAGCGGGAGATCCTGAGCCCCAGGGTGGTGGAGCAGACATGCGTCAACACCAGGCATGCAGCAGCCACCGCCACCAGTTCCAGCTCTGCACCAGGTAAACCACCAGATGCCTATCAACATCTGACGCCCAGCACACAGAACCAGTAACCAGGCCCCTAGCCCCAGCACAAGAAGCCCGTGCCCCAGAAGCAGGCCAACTTTAAAAGCCAGGAAAAAGGCAAGCAGGATCAAGAAGCCACAAAGAAAAACAATGACCAAAGGGAAGTACCTCAGTGACAAATTCAGGAGAGGACAACGTTGTCAATGTGCCCACATCCGAACCTCAGAGGGGAACACGAACTGGCCTCAAGCCCAAAAAGCCTGCTTGGAAGAACGTGAGGAGAGAGGCGGAAGAAAAACCAAACAATTCCTTTAAAAACACAATCGACAAAATGGAAAAAGAAAACAAGTCCTTAAAAAGTAGAACTGGCCAGATGGAAAAGGAGGCACAAAAGCTAACTGAAGAAAGCAGATTGTTAGGAATTAGAACTGGGCACATGGAAGCTAACGACTCTATGAGACGTCGAGCAAAATCAAAAGAAGGGAAAAATCAAAGAAAACGGAAAATACCTCATTGGAAAAACAACTGACCTGGATAACTTAAGAACTATTGGTCTACCTGAAAGCCATGATGAAAAAAAGAGCCTGGACAGCATTTTCCAAGGAATTATGAAGGACCGCTGCCCTGAGGTCCTAGAACCAGAGGGTGAAACAGTCATTGAAAGAATCCACCTATCCTCTCCTGGAAAATCCCAAATTGAAAATGCCAAGGAGTATGGTAGACAAATTCCGGAGTCATCACGTCAAGGAGAAAATGCTGCAAGCGGGCAGAAAGAAACAATCCAAATACCGTGGAAGAACCACAGTCAGGATTACACAGGACCTTGCACCTTCTGCATTAAAAGATCAGAGGGCTTGGAATATGATATTCTGTAAGGCAAAGGAGCTTGGATTACAACCGAGGATCAACTACCCAAAGAAACTGAGCATGGTCTTTCAGAGGAGGACTCGGACATTCAGTGAAACAGGGGACTGCCAGACTTTCCTGATGAAAAGACTAGAGAGGTGGCCTAAGCCCTCCCTGGGCTCTGTTAAGCACAAAGACAACACCAGCCTGAGCCAAGGTTCTCCTTGCCTGGGTGGTCAGATGGGGCGGATTGGGCGTGAGACAGATTTAACCTAGACAACCAGGGTGGTTCCTACGCCGCCATTGACTGTAACAGAGGAATATTTACCAGAGTCATTGAATGTACCAAAGTCCACTTAGAAACACTTCTCTGCCAGGAAGGACTCATTTTCCCAGGCCCAAAACCTACAGGGTCTAGACCTGAATGGGTAAAGTGTGTCTCACTAATTTACGAGCTCCGGGACTGAGGTCAAGTCGCAGCCCCTCTGGGCCTCAGCTTCCCCTCCTGACCGATGCCAGGAGGGCCCTTGACCTGCCTTTCTCATAGGTAAATTAGGAAGATAAAGTAAGACAGCTGAGCTCACTGTGGATGGGTGGCTGTCACCACTGCCTAGAGGTCAGGCCTGAGGCCACTCCTTTGCATTCATTCATTCATTTATTCATATACCCAACAAACACACTTGAGCACCCCCTCTGTGCCTAGTACAGTGCAGGATGCAAGGAAACCTGAGGGGACACTGTGGCCCCAACCCAAGAAGCTCATGAGCTCAAGGAGCAGATAAAGCAGACAGACTAGTCTGGGGATGAGATGTCCGGGAGTCCCTGACACCAGCCGTGGGGAGTGCTACAGCCAGCCAGGGCAGCAGGAACTCAAAGGAGGGAAGCCTTCACAGCAGAGGCAGCCTGAGTAGGGCCTGGAAGGATGCTGGAAGACCGTGGGAGAGAGAGGAAGGAGGCGGCCATTGTGGCCACAGGCTTTGCGGTCATCACAGGAGCCCAGAAGGGGCCTCTTGCCCTCTGCAGCTGGTCCTGGAGCCTTTTCTGAAAGACTGCAGCCCCGAGGTAGCCCTTCTGCTAGGAGAGAGCTCTCCTCCCAGGAGAGGATCCCTTAGATCCAGCCCAGACCCCCTTCCCTCCTGGCTCTGCCCTCTGGGCCAAACAGAGCAAGGCTGTTCCCCTTCCAAATGTTGGCCTCGGAGATCCTGAACAGAGACTGCAGTCTTCAAGGCACCCCACCGAGCCTTCACTCTGCTCTCCAAGCCAAACACTCCCGTTCCTCCAGCATGATCTCCAGGCTCTTGCACAGCCTGGCTGCCCTCCTCTGGACACTCCAGCTCATCCTCCCAGGCCATGGAGCCCAGGTGTGGTCTGAACAGGGCATCACCTCCTCGTCACAGGAAGCTCAGTCTCTGTCAGGCGGCCCACCCCACTGAGTTCTACAGAGATCAAAGGTCCCTGGAGCCCCCGGGTCATTTTTAGACTCATAACCATAATTCCATTTGTTACTGTCCTTCAGTTGTGTCAGACTCTTTGTGGCCCTACTGGGGGCTTTCTAGGCAAAGGTACTGGAGTGGTATGCCATTTCCTTTTCCAGCTCATTTGACAGATGAGGAAACTGAGGCAGATAGGAGGAAGTGACTTGCCCAGGGTCACACAGCTAGTAAGTGTCTGAGGCCAGATTTGAACTCAGGAAGAGGAGCCTTCCTGGACTTTACAAATCCAAGATGGCATCCTTACTGGTGGGCTTTTTGGAATTTTTCAGAATCCTGTTGTGTGAATGCTGAGCACCGAGGAGGAGGATGGCACCAGGGAGAGCCTCTGTCGCCTGGGTCTTGGCCTGAGCTCCCATAGAGCACACATCAAGGCCCAGCAGTGAAAGGGCAGCGAGTGATGTCATGACCTTTGTGTATTGCCAGATTGCTCTGCCCCAAGATCACGCCGTTGCAACGTCACCAGTGATGTAGGAGAGGAAATGTTTTTCCAGAAATTCCAGTAGCCTTGAGCATCGCCATTTTAAGTATTTTGCCGAGTTTACAGGTATACAGCGGTCTCTCAACACTGCTTTAATTCAAATTTCTCCTGTGGTTAGGGAGGCGGGCCACATCTTCAAGCTCTCCAGTGCCATGTGTTATTCCTGATTGAGAGTACTCTAAATGTGGGTTGGAAAGGAAAGTTAGGGAGATGTGCATGGACCATGGAAAGAAGCCGGTCTAGCAGCCCAGGGCCCTCATGGCTTCCATGGAGAAGCACTCTTTGTTTCCAAATGACATTATTTTGCTTCTGCTCCTCTCCTTCTGATCCCCTGCATCAGAGGCCATGCATGCGTGGCCTGTTTGTGGAGAAGTGCTCGCTCCACGCCTATTTGTGCTGCCTGCTTAGCAGGTCAGCTTCTCACCAGCTGTGTCTGCTCACAGGCCTAATTCACATTTGCATTTTTAGCATGTGAGGGGAATGAAGACATTCTGTTTGGGGTTCCGCATTGCATTTAGAGTCATGCTGCACACGGGAAGGTTGTTTTCTGTACTGGGGGAATGGCTTCCTAACAGGTCACTGATGGAGTCACCTTGGAAAGCCTGCTCTGGGGGCAGACCGGGGCACTCAGGGCCTCTCAGAGGCCAGATTTTCAGGACTGTGTTCAAGAGGCCAGCTGCCAGGTTCCCATCTGGAAAGAGAACCTGGTGACAAGAAACCACAGCTGTCTCCAGCTCATGCATAGCCAGGGTATGAGATGAGCCATTCTGAAAGAACAGCGACCCCACCCACCAAAGAACAAAGAGTGTCAGAGCTGCAGACCTCAGAGGCTGTCCAGTCCCTGAGGGAAACTGAGGATTGAGGATCTATTGGCTGGCCTGACACCCAGGACTAGCCTTCCTGCCACCCTCCCCGGGAGCCAATATTGTCCTCAGCTCTCTATCAAGGCTGAAGATGATGAACACAGCCCTTGCAGGAGAAGATGACCCTGCCAGGCAGACAACAATCACTGAGGATTGTCTGACCCAGCCTATCCCCTGAAGCCCCAGCTTTCCCTCCAATTTGGCCCCCAGGAGAAAAGCACTGTGACATTTGATCACCCCAGAGGTTCTGAGGTTTGTGAGTCACTGGGTGCACCTCAGTTTATCTAATCCTTGCAACAGCCTGGCAAGGAAAGCGCTACCCACCTTTGGCATCCCCATTTTATAGATGCAGAAACTCAGACTCGGTAGCTTACCTGCACCCACACACCTAGCCAGGGTCAAAGGCGCCTGTGAGTCAGGCTCTCCTGACTCTCAGATCAGCCACCATCCCCTGGGTCAGTTCTCCCGGGAAGTCTCTCTCTTGGCTTTTTCTCTTCGCCAGCCTGCTGACTCCCCAGCCCCAGTTCTGCCCAGCCTCAGTTCCTGAAGTCTGTGAGACCCCTTGGACTCTTCACAACTGTGAACCTAGGCTGCTCTCGGAGAAGCACATCTCAGACAAGGTCTCAGAACCACATTGCTAGGGACGGCATTCCCCCTTCAGTCCTGGACTTTGCACAACAGCAGACACCTCCTGGGTCTCTGGGCCTAATCCTGTCCCAAGCTTCAATGCCCTGTCCCCAAAGCCAGAGAGATCTCTCCATCCAGAAGCCCCTGCATCTCCAACTCAGCATGTCCCAAATGGGCCTCATGACCTCCTAGCCTCCACCTTCCCCTCTTCCCACCTTCCCTAAGTCTACCGATGTCACTCATGCAGAGTGGCAACACTGAAGGCATCCTCAGCAAGCCCTTCCCTCCCCAGCATCTCCAATCTGTTGTCAGGGCTTGGCATCTCTGCCTCTCCACTCCCACAGCCACCGACCCAGTTGTGACCTTCCTCCCCTCCCATGGACCATTGCAATGGCTTCCCAACTGGCCTCTCTGCCTCAGGACCTCCTTCTCCAGGTGTGCCAAGCTCCTACATGTACACATCCTGGCCCAGGAAGCCCCAGGCAACCTTCCTGCCTCTAAGCTAATATGTGGGCTTTGCCTCTGGCTTCTACAGACCTTCACAGTGGGGGTTTCCGCACGTGAATCTCCTTTATGTATGATACATCTCAGCCAAACTAGCTTACTTTGGGTTCTCAGCAGAGGACAGTCACCTGCCCCCATATCTCCACCTAAGCTGTCCCCCATACCTGGAATGTACTCCCAGCCCCTCACCTCGGCCTCTTAGAATCCCTGGCTTCCTTCCACATTCCAGGAAAGTGCCCTTTTCTCCAGGAAACCCTCCCTGATCTCTCCCAGATGCTAATGCCTCCTCCTTAAATTACTTTGGGCCAACGTGGTGGCTATTTGTGCCTGATTTTCCAGGTGCATGCTCTTTCCCCCAGTCTAGTAAGTACCTTGGGGCCAGGGACTGTTTTGTTCCGATTCTGCATCCCCAATATCTAGCACAGCACCTGACACATAGTAGGCACTTTATGCATATGAATTGGATTGTATTCGAATGCATTGGTTTGGAGAGGACAGGAAGAAGCTTGCTGCTCCCTGCAGCTTCCCCAGGGCTCCCCGTGGGCTCCCCTCCTGCTTCTCACCCTCCCTCCCAGTCACCATCTGTGGGATGATTCTAAAAGCCTTGGAGAGCCCTCTTAAGCCAAGGGGCTCCCTCAGAACAAGTGAGGGGAAACACTACACAGCTCCATTCCACTACTCTGCCTCCAGAGCTCTTCACTCTGAAGATGATTGGGAGTCAGAAGGGCTGGAAAACCTTGAACCTGGACCTGGCCTGCAGGAAGGAGCTCCCTCCCTGCCCCGGGTGCGACCTGGCCTCAGAAAAAGTGGGATGGCTCAGGGGCCAAAGCCACAGCCTTACAGGCCATCTGCCGGCCAGCAAGCTCTCATACGCTGGAGTGAGCCCCCGTGAAAGGCAGAAGACAGATGCAGTCAGAGCAGACAAATTAACCCCAACCTTCAAGCCCAGGTTCCCTACAATGAGAGGAAAAGGCCTTTTCCAGGCCTGCATTTCTGAGCTCCCCAAACTGCCATCTGTGTACACACTCCTAGATCTGCCTGCATCCATCTTTTGATCCTAATCTGGGGAAGATGTTCAGAAAGAAGAATGCCCGGGCTCAGGGGGACAGGAGCTGACCTCCTCACTCCACCACCTTTGTAGAAGAAGTCAGGATGCCCTGGAGAACAGCCAGGAGGCTTGGGAACAGGGCTGAGCCCCCACCAAAGTCTCCCTCCAATGCCTCATTGTGGTGGACACACAGCCCTGGGTTCTCAAGACCAGAGCAGTGAGGCGCCAGGTCTGGTGGAGAAGTCACAGGTCCAGCCTTGCCAAGCTCACCACCAGCAGGGAAGCCTTCAGGTCATGAGATTTGGGCTGTAGTGACCCATGAAACATGTAAGATGGACCTTATCCATACACCCTTACCTTTCATGGCTGAAAAGGGGCAGAAAAAAGGTTTTTGGTATTGGGGAGGTCAAGGATTGGGGCTACCTGCATGAATGTTGATTCACCTGAGCTAGGAAGCAGCTGAACCCTTAGTTCATCCAGAAAATTGGGGGAGGGATGGGCTGTAGAGACTGACGAGGGTGAGTCCAGCTACCTCTGAAGTTCTAGACTGGACCTAACCCAGGCTGGCCCCTGGTGTTCTTAAGTGCAATGCCAGGACAGAGGGACTCAGCTGAGTTAGTGAGGAAAGGGAAGAAAGCTCAACAAGGACAGACCCCACGCCCCCTGCCTCAGAATTGCCTTTGTGGTCTGCCAGCCAAGCCTCAGAGCATGCACGGAGTCCTGTGGTACTACCAACATGTGTGGATGTGTGCCACCTCTCTGCTTTTCACATCAGCTGTTGTTAGGATGCATAGCACCAGCAGACATGTTGATTTTGAGATGTCCTAGAACAACTAGGGCATCTAGGGGCACCGAGCCTGGAGTCAGGAAGACTCAAGTTCAAATCCAGCCTCAGACACTTAGTAGCTGTGTGACCTGGGCAAGTTACTTCACTCTGATTGCCTCAGTTTCTCATCTGTAAAATGAGCTGGAGAAGGACACGGCAAACCATTCCAGTATCTCTGCTAAGAAATCCCAAAGGGGTCACAAATTATCGTGTACAACCGAAAACAACTGAACAAGGACAATTCTGACCAGAAGCATCCAGCAGGCAGGGGACGTGTAGGTCTGGGCCTCAGGCTGAACCCAATTCTTTGAGAAGGAGACTCTCCAGGGAGAAGAGAAGAGTTAGGCTTAGGGGTGGTCACCCCAACAATACCCCGGCCCATCCAGTCACACCCCCAAGGGCTGGGGCTGCCCTGCCTCCGTCTAAAGGAGAACCTTCCTCTCCCAGACTCAGCAGCTGTTAATCCCAGAGAACCGCCCGCAACACAGACAGAGTCAAGGCCTTCCCCAAAGGTGGCCCACCAGCAGGGGTAGAAGGAGGCCTCAGAGTCCAACATTGCTGCCCGTCACCCCACGAGCCTGGTGCTCATTTTGTCTATAAAAGTCTCATCTCTCCTGTATCTTTGGTACAGGCCCCTCCCCTGGCCCCAGGTAAGCTCCTCCAAGGCCAAGGCTGATTTGGCCTCTGCATCCCCAGGCTGGAGCCTCATCAGCACCTTCTGACGGGGCCTCAGAGAGAGACCACCCACAAAGAGTCTGTGGGAGGGCTTAGGAGAGGGCTCCAGAATCAGGACCAGCTTCTCAAATGGGGGTGGCAGAAACGGCCCAGTGGGATCCCACATGTGCAGAAGATGCTCTGCAGCCTCCCGGGCAGGCCCTAGGGATCTTCCAGTGGACATGGTGGCCTCATCGCCTCCTCCTATGACCCCTCCGCCACCTTTGCCAGACATTGGAGCTTCCAAATATAGAACCCTCCCTGGGACAATGACAAGTCAGTCCTGGTAGGCAGGGCCGCTCTCTGCTTTCCTCTGGCCCCCAGAGGCCAGCCAATGCCCAGGGGCTCCTCTGAGGAGGGCCAGGGGCAGAATCATCATGGAGGCTGGGAATGGCTGGGTCTTTAGCTGGGCTTCTATAACAGAAGGAAAAGACGGGAGTGGGATGCAGCAGAAAGATGGGGTGGGCTTTGCTTACGGCTCCCATTTCTTTGCTTTTCCAGAATTGGTGCCCCTGTGATTCTCGCCATGGAGACGTTCTTGTGCATCGTCCTTCTCACCGTAAGTACAAGGAAACAGTGGGTCCTGGGCCCCACCCTTCAAAAGGGTGAGCATTGAGTAAGCCTGTGGTGGCATTGGCAAGGACCGCCATGGTCTACCAGAAACATCATAGTTGGGCAGGACCCAACAGCCTCACAGTCTGACCCAGACTAGATGGAAAGCTCCCCCATGATGGGCCTGGCGAGTGACCGTCCACTCAGCTAAAGACTTCTGCAGCAGCCGGTCCTCTTTACACTTTTTATTGTTAGTGACGTCCAGCCTAGGTAGGTCTCCACACTCAGTGCCCATAGTTCAGATCAGTCTGATGCCTCCTACGCATGAGTGAATGAGTGAACATAGAGACAAATGAATGAGTGAAAAAGCATGTATTAAGTGTTTGCCATGTGCTAAGCACTGAAGATACAAATAGAAGCATCCCTGCCCTCAGGGCTTACAGTCTAATGGAAGAGACAGTACACAAAGTGACCACACATAGATGTACCCGTGAAAAGTAGTGGGAAGAGGGGAGCATAGCTGAGAAATGTCTGCAAAGCAGCATGGAAGGTAGGTGCCTCCCCATCCACCTGAACGGGAAGGCCAGAACCAAACACACTGTCCAGCTGCGGCCAGAACGGAGCACAGCTGGCCTGGATTTGGCACTCTTCTGAATGCAGCCCAAGGTCACAAGCACCTCACCAGGCTGAGCTTGAGGCCCAGGAAATGTCCAGGACTCTTTCTAGAGTGTAGTCAGGACTTCTCTGTCTCACACTTGGGACATTGACTTTTTGATCCCAAGGGCAAGATTTTCCATTGATCCCTCCCAAATTTCATCTTACTGGATTCAGCCAATTCTGTAGCCTGTCCAGGTCCTTCCAGATGCTGACTCTGTCATCCGGCCAGTCAGTCAGTCAAGCAATATGAACTGGCCATTCACTAAACAGTGGAGTTGCAAGAAAAAAAGGCAAAAGCTGCCCCTGCCCTCAAGGAGCTCACAGTCTAACAAGCAAGGACAAGAGGCAAGTAACAACATCCGTACAAACCACATGCAGCGCAAACCAGATGTCATCTTAGAGGAAAGGTGCTGGGCTGGCGAGGGGACAATGGCATTTGACCTGAGTCTTGAAGGAAACCAGGAGACAAAGTGAGGACGGAGATGGAGTTGGGAGGTGGAGGCTGGCATCACTGGAGTGTGAAGGGGAGGGAAGCAGGAGACAACTGGAAGGGGAAAAGGGGGCCAGGAGGAGAACTTGAAATGACAGAGGATTTTCCATCTGCCCCTGGCAATGGTGGGAGGTGATTTGGAGTGCATTGAACAGAGGAGTGGCAGTCAGACCTGTGCTTTGGGGAGATCCAATTGACCTCTAAGTAGAGGATGGACTGGAGCAAGTCAGATAGACCCCACTGCAGCGATGGCAACAGTCTGAGTGTGAAATGAGGGGCCTCCACAGGGTTGGGAGCTGCGTCAGAGGACAGGACAGGGCTCGTGCAGGAGAGCAGTAAGGGACCCTGGCAACAGGGCCAGCCTGGGTCATGAGGAAGATGGCGGCACCCTTGGCAGTCATGGGGATGTTGGGCAGAGGGGAGCTGGGTTTGGGTCATCTACAGATGTGATGGGCCTATCACCCATGCTTTAGCTAAGTCACTGATATTCAACCGATGTTAAATAGTACAGGGCCAAGCACACATTGTGTGGGCTTTGTGCCTGAGTTCAAATCCAGTTCCAGAGGCTTCCTAGCTGTATGCCCCTGGGCAAGTCACTTAATTTCTCCCAACCTCAGTTTCCTTGCCTGTAAAATGGGGATCACAATTGTGCCTCCCTCAAGGGTTATTATCAGGATCAAAGGAGATGACAGGCTTTGTAAGCTCTGAAGGCCTCTGCATTATTACTATTGTTATTATTATTATTATTATTATTATTATTATTATTATTATTATTATTACCGGCCATTATTACCGCCGTCACCACTGTCGCTCTCCTGCCCGCTTCCTGACAGCCAGAGGCTCACAAGGCCCTTCAGAACTTGCCAGTCGGTTCTGAGCCCCCCAGGCTGCTGTGGCCCAGCGAGCCCACGAGCCTTCCACAAGAACCATGCGACACCTCTGCCATAGCTAACCTGGAAGCACACTCTCTCCACAGCATTCGCCTCACCTATCAGCTTAGTCATTCAGTCGTTTCAGTCGTGTTTGACTCTCCGTAACTCCATTTGGGGTTTTCTTGGCAAAGATACTGCAGTGGTTGGCCATTTCCTTCTCAAGTTCATTTTACAGATGAGGAAACTGAGGCAAATATGGTGAAGTGACTTGCCCAGGGTCACCCAGCTAGGAAGTGTCTGAGGTTGGATTTGAACTCAGGCCTTGTGGACCCCAGACCTGGTGCTCTGCGCACTATGGCGCCCCCTAGCTGCCCACTAGTAATCCTGTCCAAAAAGAGAGGAGGCAGTCCTAGACCCCCTGATCTGAATGAAGACCGCTCCCTCTTCCCTGTCTCTTTAATCACTGAGTCTCCTTGGAGTCATTCACCAATTATCTCTGTAATGACCCAGCCTGGAACTTTCCCAGCACTCCAAGCCAAGTCTGGAGATGCCCAAGAGGCCTTTGGATGTGAAGAGGCATGGTTTCAAACTGCATTTTATTCGAATAAGGGTCAGTTTGCCTTACAAATGGACAAAGGTCATTTTAGATTCTTTCAACCAAGATCAACACTACTCCTAGCCAGTCCAGATTTCAACCCTTCCTGAAACTGTTGGTCACTGGGTGAGCAAACAGGTGAGCTTGGCATCATTATCATGTGAGCCTGACCCCAGAAGGAGCTCCTGAGCCTGGCCTCAAAACTACATGAGCCTGGCCCCAGAAGAAACCCATGGGCCTGGCCCTAGAAGGAAGGAGCTAACCTGGCCTCAGAAGGAAGGGGCTAGCCTGGCCTCAGACCTTCAGGAGCCTGGCCCCAGAATGCTGAGCTGCCTCTTTACAGAGCAAGTCCCGCTCTGCTGTCACCTCAGGGTGTTTCTCTGTAGATTCTCCTAGGATTTTCTGGCCCTTTCAGTTCCCAGACTTTCCTTGGTCTGTTCAGCTGCATTCAGCTGGTGAGATTTTACAGAACAAACAGGAGAGTTGAGGTCATTTTACGCCCTCTGACTTTAGTTCCTTTGGGTCTTTGCTTTTCCCAGGCACAACTGGCCAGCCAGATAATTTAGTGCCTGAAGCAGTTGTCTGGGCCTGGGCAGAGCAGCCTGGCCAACGCTGGCCAGCAGGACAGCTTCACCTTGCTCGGCTTTCAGTGACACCCTCAACTTCCGACAGATTCTTCTCCTAGGATGATGAGGACACTTTCCTGGGCACGGTGATGTTGGCGGAGGAGATGAGCGCACACAGGCTTTTGCCCAACTTAGAAATTAATGAACTCGGCATCAAATCGCATTGTACAGAGTTGTCCCACGATCGTCACCCACTGAGCCCTTGTTCTCTTGGGAAACATCCTTCTCCCATGAAAACCCTTTCGGCATCGGGAAAGCAAGGGCTTGGCTGACCTGAAATGGAATGGGTATGTCCCAATAGGGGAATGAGGTGAGGGGACAAGACATTCCTGCAGGGCTAGAAATGGAAGATTCCCAAAAAAGAATGGGAAAGTGGAGTCAGTCCTTGCCCGATGAGCCCCACCGTGGAATGTGGCTTCCACCAGGGCACTAGTTCTCAGCCACTCTGTTTCCCAGGGTGGGTCTGTGCATTTCACTGGGTTTTGGTAGCAGAAAACTATCAGCAGCATAGACTTAATGTACGAGATAATTTTTAACTACAAAGATTTAGGCCCATTGTCTTAGAATTGCCTGCCTGTTCCAGGAATGACAGTGCAGGGTTTCTTTTGACTAGTTTCAAAGAACACAAAGAATTTCGCCTATTTCCCAAAGCCAGGAAAAGTCTCTCAGAGTCTCAGGGTCTCCTTCCTGCTGCTCAGAGCTCTTCTTTGTCTCATTCACTCCCTCTGGGGATGCCCCAGCCTCGAGCTTGAGCAGGCAACGCCTCCGCACTGCGCCTGGGGGCACTCGGACTTACTGGAGATGTCTGTATAGCCCTCGGCTTCCCACAGCAGCTTCAGTGGGTTTGGGAGACCGAGGCAGCAACTGTAAAGCACTGGGCAAGCCTTAAGGATTGTAGCAACATCCACCACCATTGGTCATCAATATAGTGATTTGCACATTTGTGGAGTTTTACCACCTTGGACCAATAGTAGATATCATAAATGTTTTCCAAGACTCTGTTTGGTCATTAAGCCTATGTTGGTTTGGGTTCTCCCCATTACCTCCTGTTTGGCCTACTGCTTCCCACATCCTTGGACAGAGCCAGGAACCATCAGGGAGGGCAGAGAGTTGCACCGAGGCAAGGGTTGAGCGGAAGTCAGTTTGGTGGGATTTCCAGCAGTGAGAGCTGTCCCAGAGCACAGCGAGCTGCTTGGAAAGTGGCGTCTCCTTCCCCCGGGGAAGCTCCAATCAGAGGCTGAAGACGCACTGGTCATCGGGTCATAAAGCCACTTCTCTGAGGTGCATCTGGCCTGGATGATAGCTGAGGCAGGCGCTCGCCCCCTCCAGCTCTGAAATTCTGGGATTCCTAGGTCTGTGAGAACCTAAGTGTCCACCAGCCCGGAGCCCCAGAAAAACCCGATCCTGAGAGCGTACTGGAGACGACTTCTTGGGATTGACTCCCTGGTGCCTCTAGATGCCTTTGCTGCCCTCAAGGAGCTTACAGTCTAATGAGAAAGACAACAAGCAAACAGCCATATACAAACTATAGACAGGATAAATAGGAAAGAATCAACAGAGGAAAGGCAATAAAATTACAGGAGGTTGGGAAAGATGAGATCTTAGCTGGGACTTGAGGCCAGGGAATCTAGTCTGCAGAGATGAGAAGAGAGAGAATTCTAGACATGGGGGATGGCCAGAGAGAATGCCCAGAGCCAAGAGATGGGCTAGGAGGCCAGGGTCTCTGGATGGAAGAGTACTTGCTCGAAAGGTGGAGCAAGAGGGTGA